AATATATAAATATCTATTTTTTTATATATACACACTTATAATTAACTCAGATACTCACCTGCAGAAAACAGTATTTTTCCCCAACTGGTTACTAATAGTGTTGGCCTCTTTGATCATCACAGATAGCTTCAGAGAATTCCAGTTAAGTGGAACTAATAAAGAATATAGCAAATAATGATTAAGTGGATCAAAATGTGACACAACAACTTTAGGGTTAAAAAAAAAACACAAAACAAAAAACCACACAACCAAAAAACTTGAATGGAATTTAGCCAACAACAGTTCAGTGAATTTCGAATAAATTGAGAAAAAATGACCCTCCCAGCCAAGACACCCTTTCCCTGACTTTTTATAAAGGGTTATTTCAGAAACAGGAGCATAACACCAGACACTATATATTAACTTGAGATAGGAAGCAGAATCAATTCTGTTACTCCAGTTTACCCAATGAGCTAACATTTAACCAGTTCAGCCAGATGGGGGAAGGACTTTTAAGTAACTGGGGTAAATACAGATTAAGACAGAGCTTTCAGCACCCTCCGATATATACAGCTTATGAATAGAAAGGATTGTAACAGACAAAAGGGTTGTGTCTTGTTCAGGATCGTTAGAGAAGTGTTAGAAAAAGCTCCTGGATTCACATCTACCAAATCCAAGCCCACCGAGCAAAAGAGAAGTCTGCATTGCCTTTGCAACGTGAGGTATATACATACTAGTCATAGTTTTATTCCCACTTCCACGATTCTTCTGAAGAACGTGTATTTCCTCAGCAATCTTCTGCTTCTCAGCTTCCAGAGCTTCCAGTATCTTTGCATGACGAATAGTATGATCTTCTAGAGCCTAGGGTGGCAGTTAAAAAAAAATTTTTTTTTGAAAAAAAAGAAAAACCAAGCGCTCTTAGTGCTGTTTACTGAACCAAAATTTTTTGTTGCTGTCATTTTAAAGACTCTCAGATTAGAATGAAATTTATATTGGACATCCTCTATATTGATATGAAATCCTTCATCTTCAAATTCTGACAGGTTTCTGGTTTTGCTTAGATATTGTTATGCTTAAAAAAAATACTGGAATTAAAAAGAAACTTTTTTTTTTTTTAAGCCATATTTGTTGCAGCAGTCAGATATATACGAACACCAGCCAAAACCCAGTCATTACTTACATTAATGCCTGGAGTCATAACTTTTGGCCCAGGCAACAGTCACTAAAGTTTGGTACATGAACAAAACTGTCCACATTACATAAGAAATAAGGTCAGCATTAATTTAGCCCCAAATTTAATACAATAACATACTCGAAGTGTAAACTGTTCTTTCACATAAAATAACATAGAAGAAAAATACTTCAGAAACATTTACAATGGCTTATTTAAAAAATACAAACAAGCAAATAACCACAAATAAACCACAGTTTATCACCTAAAAAGCTTAATTTGAACATCACCTGCTTAGTAGCTAAGGTCTCCATTTCTAAACGTTTCTTATTGAAGTGTAGTTCTAGCTCAAGACTTTGCTTTGCCTTCTCTAGCTCCTGTATTTTAGTTTCAGCTTTTTGGTTATTCAGTTCTTGAATTTGCTTCTGACGAGATTCTTCTCTCTAACATAAAAAAGGAGAGATGAGAGAAGCTATACCACTTCTACAGCATTTTCTGATCCATCCCATACGCAGATATCAAGGTTTACTTTCACTTCAACACGTTTAAAACGTGCAGCCTCTGTGGACTATTCAGCCCAGTGTCAGCAACGAAAGGTTATAACCCAGTTCACAAGCATCACATTATGTCTTCGATAGCACATCTAAGAAATCAGATACTCCACAATAATGGTTTTACCGTGACATACTATTCTAGGTCAATTTCTGTGTATCATAAAAGTATTGAAAAGACTAACAAAGTAGCATGCAAACTTGGAAGAAAAAAAAGCCATATTAACTGAAATGCTGTACACTACTCATAGTATAAGTTAGATTTTGTAGGGATTTTTCTTCACATACAAGTTACACCCCCATCAAATTCACACTGGATTAACATTTTAGTTCCTGACTAATGCTATAAACCAAAATCCCTAGAATTCTGAAGGGGATACCTACTTTACAACTTCTTGTGTTAGTAAGGCTGATTTCTTTTTTTTTTTTTTAAAAAAAAAAAAAAAAAAGATGCTTAGCATTCCCTAAGAATTTTTGCAAGACAAAAAAAAAGCCACACAAAAACCCACACCCACAAAACACCCCCGACCAAACAACAAGCAAGCAAATAAAAACCCCGTACTACAGCTTCTGTTTTATTTTATTGATATGTTTTATGTAACAATGCAATGGCAACTTACCACCTCTGCTTCCAGTGATTTTATTTTGCTTTCATAAGCTTCTTTTTGTGAGGTCAGTTCTTGCTGAACCATCTCTTTCGCAATCTGGACACTTTGCATCATTTCTTCCTTGGCTTTGAGTCGCGCCTCTTCAATTTCTGACTCAAGCCTACAAGCGGAAGTATCATACATTTAGAATGCTTGCTTTAGTCTCCTACAGGCTACATACATATTATAGTATTTTCTTCTGCTGTGACAGGAGCCTCCAATTTTAACAGGAAAAATACGAGGGTTTGTTTCAGTTTTTTTAGAAGCAACTTTTTATACTTTACCTAAATATTATTGATTTCATAGGGAAAATGTCCACACTGGTAAAGATGCAAGACATTCCAGAATTTTAAAGTCCATTTGAGTTCCATATTTATTTTATCACGCACCTTTCACAAAATTAAGAACTATAATAGAAACTCACTAAATCACATTAAGATGCAGAAAAGTAAATTTTAAGCCAGTGAGTCTTGTGGTTTAATAACTCCCAGGAATGAAGCAAGTACAAATAACACTCCACTTGGTCTCTCAAATTCTCCACCATCACTGAAAACAAAGGCTGTAACTTTAGGTTCTTCTCATTTTCCTAAGGCATTTGCTTTTCAGGCTTTAAATCTTTCTCAAACATCAAAAGTCAATTTCAGACCCATCATGTGCTTGGAGAGAAATGTAACCGAAGAGATACACTACTTTGAGGACTTCTGGAACTCAGCATTTCTTTAATAGCGGCCTACATCCTTGATAACTGGACTGAATTGTGGTGATCACCTCTTAGAGGTACGCATTCATTTCAGCTAAGTCTAGGGCTTTCATTTCTATTATAAATGGAGTTAGTAAGAACCTTGCTATTTTCCAACTTTATTGTGAAATAATTAATAATCTTAAGTTTCTTATTTCTTAAACTTATTTCATGGTGCACTAACAACTGAATTTCTTTTTAGAACAAGATGATCCAATACTTACTGTGTTCTCTGTGCAATAAGCAGCTCATTCTTCGCAAATTCAAAATCTTTTGGACCATCATGCAAAAACGTAGTCCCACAAGATTGCCTTTTAACTTTCTGAACTTCTACTGGATGATTAAACCTGAAATAATGGTCTCCCCCAAGGATCACTCGATCACCCTATTGGGAAGAAAAACAAAAAACCAAACCAACAACAAAATCACACCACACTCTCTTCTATAACTTTTAGATTTATAAGCAAATTCACAGTGCTTAAAACATAACAGGTGGGAACACAGAAATTAAAGAGGAAGAGGCAAACATTTACAATTTCCAAGCCTTCTAAGAAAACCTCCAGTCTGAAGCTGTAATATTACCAAAGCAAAGAGATCCACACATGCACATATCACTATTACCAAATCAGTTACTTACGTGATGCAGAACTGTTGGGTCTAAAATGCATTTCCCATTTACATATGTCTTTGCATCTCTCAGAGGAATAATACTCACTTTGCCAACAGTATTTCTTATAACACTGAAAACAAGAAACATTTGTGATATTAGAGCTAGGACAAAGGTTGGACTCTATGATCTTGAAGGTCTCTTCCAACCAAAACTGTTCTATGATTCCATCATCAGTAGCTCATGTTAATCACAAATTATGTTTCTTAATAGACTAAAATTCATGCTTTAGACAGTGTCCTGTTATTGTTTTTCCAGATGTGTCTTCATACTATTTAGTTACAACATACATAATTAATGAGTGACAACCTGTATTTCAGAAGAGAATTGATATTTCAATCTAAGAAGAATCCCCTGCTAAAAAATTACCACAATAGCCTGTCATCTGAGCATTTCTTTGGTAATGCTTAATTTTCCAACACACTCGCAACTTTCACATTTTTAGTAATTGATTAGTTAAGTTTCTCACAGCATTTTGTCTAGGACCAATTGCATGGAATGCACTTTAAACAGTATTTCTGCATTATGGCCAAGTTGCTCTCTATTTTTAGTTTTAATTAAGAACTGTCAAGGCATTTCACTTTTCCACTGAACTTAATGTAATAGGATTGTCACACAGCATCGTTTGATCAGTTCCTTCTTCAGCATTTCTGCATGAACAGAAAATTTTGCTACATGAATGAAACAAAGAAATCAAACTACCGTGGTTAACAGATTTCCTGAGGGACCAGAAGGAAAATACCTTAATCATCAAACGGTACAAAATTTATCCTTAAATAGTACTTTCCTGGTTAGAAAACCATACTTTGTTACTGCCAGAAAGAAGAGTGACACCAAAAGAAAGGGAAGGGTGAGAAGAAATATTTGCTGCTCTCACTTCAAGTATAAAAAGAACACTACATACCAGTGGTCATCAGCAATTAGCACTCCGGAAAGCTGGATATCATGTTTCGAATTTGGTGTATACCTTCCAACTGTAGTTTCTCCTTCTTTGATCATATACAACAGCACCTCAGAAAGCTGAGGATCTTCATTGAGATTGACAAGGTTTGGTAAACGATTGTCCATTTTGAATGCAATTCCTGCTTTCTAGATAAAAAGAGAGCTCTGCATTAAAAAAAAAACAGCTTAGTCTGTGCATTCAAATATCTATATTAAATTTTTCTAAGAAGTCACAGTAGTCTGTTGAAAGACTAGCCTTAAGGAAACTAAATCTTACAACTATGCCAATTCTTCTGCAAGGCTGGCTGATGTATTTTTCTGGACTATCTCCTGTAGAAAGTGAAGAAAGAAAACGTACCTGCAATTCTTTGACATCTTCTAATTTCCTTTTTTCTGCTTGTTCAAATTTTTCTTTCCAGGCTCTTAATATATTAAGGGGAAAATAACACAACATATTAGGAGAAAAATTACAGCATATAAATTTTACCGTTTCTATTTTAAAGACAAACATTAATGACTGCCCAACCTTTGCATTTCTGCCATGTCCCTCTCCTGCTGGTGCAATTTCACCCTCAAAGATGTTATTTCCTGCAAATAACGTCTGTATTTTTCAGGATCAGTGTTCAGAGCACTTTTCTGAGCTGCCTTCAGTTTTTCAATTTCAGCTTTCAGTTCTACATTAAACAAACCAGACACACAGCACATGCAAAAAATTAAGACAAAATAGGGTTTAGACATTTCAGTTCGATGCTAGAAAATTCATACTGTTATTCAGCTAAAAATTAAACACCTTTCCCCATTCCAGGTTCTCAAGCGTAGCCTAAGGTATCATCTGAACTTTGGCAAAAAAAAAAGGAGCTCACAAGGAAGAATAATATTAAAAGGAAGATATCCTAGGTTGTATTAGCCCAGTTGACAAGTGGTCAGTCAACACAATAGATCATTAGTAGTAGGAACTCTTATGGAGCAATAAGTTAAACACACATGCAAATGAAAAACCCTTAAAGACTGCAGATGTCAGCCTCACCTCTGATTAGCTTGGCATTCACATCTTCATTTACTTTAGCAATGTTGATAATTGAACAAGCTTGTTTTGCATAGCGAAGAGTGCTGAGTGTTTCTTCTGTACTGCTGGCAGCTGGACTCACTGTGGCAATCATAGCAGTTTGTGAATTTCCACCAAGACTTTCCTTTAACAACCTTCATTTCACAGGAGAGTAAAAGTCAATCTCCAGCCCCCACATTGAAAGAAAAAAAAAAAAATCAAACTTCTCAATCTGAACAGACTAAATACAAAGTATCTAGAGTCTTGCTATTTAAAATACAAACCAAGGTCCTGTTTGTTCTTTACCTGATGCAACAGGCTAATTCCTTCCCTCCATAGGTCATTTGAGAGAGAGGGAGGGAAAGAGGGGAAGTGACACCTCCTGAACAGAAGAGGAATCCACAATCTGAGAAAGTCTTTACTTCTACATAAAAAAATCCCGAAGTGTACATACCAAGTAAGGACAGATTCCCGGTAAGGAATGAAAGTTTGCTTTCCATTTCGAGATTGTTTAGAGAGTGCAGAAATAACCTTTCCAAGGGTTAACAGTGATTTATTGATACTCACACCCTCCTACACAAAGCAAAAATGAAAATAATTATAATACAGTTGAATTTTCTTGGGTAATGTTATTGATTGTACTATTGATTTAATCGTGCTTATCCAACATATGGTGCAGCTGTACCATATTAAATGTCACCACTGATTAAAAACAACAATGAGATGCAAGAGTATCCTAGATGATCTTCATTTGGAAAGAAAAGAGACTTTGGCTTTAAAATAAGCAGTGTTAAGAACCATCAAACTTATGAACGAAGCTTGAGAGAAAGTCTCTGATTAGAAACCCTATTTACTTAAAACCCCAAAAAACAGGCAAGCCCCAACGCTGTGTGATATCAGATTCATGATTCGGAAAGTCACGCGGACAGTTTTTCATTATTGCTTCTAAAGGATCATTAGACCTGCATAGCACAGGGAGTGCTGTCCTACGGCCACACTGCATAATCAAAACAGCTTCTTAGGGCCATCCACTCTCCCTAGCAAAGTGCTATGCAATGCTTACGAGCATAAGGGCTACAAATCCTTTTACAACTACAGTTCCTGCCCAAGAGCCCTAGTAGGTGAGGATGCTTTGGAGTTTAGGGATATTCTTTGGAATCGGTCCTTTTCCACAGATTTCCAGTCTTGGTTTACCTTCAGCCTTTCTCCAGTGGTCTGAGCTGTTGAGCAGCATTCACTACCAGCTAGATCAATTAGATTGATGTGACTGGTAAGCCTGCGGTCACATTGTTCTTCATTCACAAATTCTACCTGGAGAAAAGGGAGATGTTTGCATTTGAACTAAAATTAAAAGCCTCAGGACAAGCATAAATCTAACAAGCTGTTCACTTAAAATACATAAAAAATTGACACTTCCATTTACTTTTTGACAGGATGCCTTCACGTATATCCCTTTAAGGAGACAAAGTTCAGACTTTTAACCATAGTATCAATTGTTTGCAGTCAAATAGCTGTATAAGCATAAACCACAAATGCAACCGATTAGCAAACTATGGGTTTGGGTCTGAAGTTTGACTATTGCAGCTACCCAATAACCATGGAAATCAGTAAGCTGTTACTGACTTAGACCAACAAAGATCTGCCAAGCAGTCAGTGGAAAAGTCTCAAGACTAGTTCAGGTAGAGAAAAGAAATAATCTAGGGGTGAGAATGTTGATGGGAAGAAGGAAGGAGAAGATTAGGAAATTGGGCTGAAAAATTAAACCAAGAACAACAAATAACCCAAAGCAACAAGTTATTTGTGAATGGAGAAAATTGACAGTCTGTAGAATTCTGAGGAGCTCTACCCATTTTACTTCAGTTTTCAGGGTCATCTCACTAAGTCAGGTTTTGTCTCTTACACATCTGCAAATCAGATGAGGAGCTGTAGTCCCTATGTCCTGGAGATACATGGGCGAGAGAGGCATTCTGAAGCAAGGAAATATTTACTCAGTGATCTGTTGTTGAAACTGAGCAGAAACTGCATCTCCAACCATTGTCCCAGCTCATCACCTGCACCACCTTGCATAGCCTAACCTTCTTGGATGCTAAGATGTGTTGGCAGCAGTGTGAAATTAGGTCTGGCCTTAATTTGGATTCCAGTTACATCTCAAAACTCACGCTCAGAAGCTTGGAACTACTCCTAGATCTGCCAGTCTAGGCATATTTATATTGCTGTTATAAATATACGTAGCACAGACACATCAGAATCTACTCAAAGCACATAAAATAGGTTTTGCTGTGTAGAAAGCCATGTCAAACTACCCTGTGCTTTACTCATGTTCAAGTATATTCTCAAGACAGTTTTCTAGGCAGCACACAAAACAACTTTTTACTACTCGATTTCAACAGATATAAAACACCCAGCAATACCTTGGTTTGCGTCATGACAAGGGTGAAGACAGAATGAGATCTAGAGCTCTTGTCGTTCATTACTGTAGCAGCTGTTGCTCTCTGTTTATTTCCTAGTTCAAGCCAACTCTGTAAGAGAGAAAAGTCAGGATGTGAAACCAAAACTTACTTTGGGTAGTTAACCAAAGATTAAAATCTTTTCAGATAAAGTTACTAACACAAATGATGACTCTGTAAGGGAGGAATTAATACTTAAGTTTAAGAGATAACCATGTGGAGAGAGTGACACTTGCCTGTATGCATCTACTTAGCTCCATTATACAGGACCAGTCTTCATTATCCTTTTACAAAATCAGCTGAAATAACATAAGACTACTGAGCAGCCTGGAAAGCATTTTCTTCCCATCCATGGAATTTAGTTTTCAGCAGTGAAGGAGCAAGTAGAAATATTTGTATTCACTTTTAGTAACCAAGTAACTCTTACCTGGATATCAGAGTAAGAACTGACAACATTCCTAAGGTGGGGGGAAAAAGAAAAGTTTGGGTTCAGACTATTTTCTTTCTACAGTTTTCCCTGCTGCCTGACTTCTGAAACATTTCCCCAGTTACAGACAAAATACAAATATACCATGAAAGCTCCAGTTGTCTTGAGACCTCCACGCACTTATTTCACTAAAGCAATACATTAAATGAAATGTGTCAAGTCAAGATAGACGTGGGTATGCATTTTTGTAAAACTATGTGATACTAAGATCTTACCTAATTTACTGGTGAATACACAAGTTTTCACAGAGCCTCAAGATAATAATTAGCACACTCTTCTGGGATTACACCATAAATTTATTAAAATAAGAACAGTTAAGACTTACACTGTCAGACCTTCCACATACGGTCCTAACACTGGATGTTCTCTTACACGAAGCTGGTAAGAATAATTTTAAAAGAAAAATTATTAGGAGTGCATTAGTTAGACCTAGCACTCAGGAATACCTTAAAATTCAGAGAAAGTCTATCTATATCCCTAGTTCGATGTTTATCATCAATAAAACTTAGCATGAATCTTCTAGAACAGTATTTTAAGGAAAATACCCACAATGGAATTTTTCCAGCTGCCTGAGAAATTGCAGCAGACTGCACCAAGCCATTGCTCACAGAGCTAACTGCAAGAACATGTATCTTACGTAAGATATTTACATAAAAAGCCCCAAGCTTTTCTTCAACGTAAATTTATTATCTTTTCAAGTTAAATAGCTTAGCTCAAAATCACTGACAAAACTCACATGAAAGCACGCCTACTATAAACAAGACAGCATAGTCTTTACTTCTATATAACTAGTCCACATAAGTCCTGAGTTCGGGATAAAGGACTTATTTCAACAGCAAGTTGAACGTAATATATCTTCTTTATCATAAACTAATACTCATAGTTTACACACACGGGCAGTATAGTGTCAGTATGTCAAAGTACATATTGGTTTTTAATAAATCAAACGTGATAAATTCCTTCCCTACATCCCCTACTCAAATTTCTTTAATTTATGGTTTTACATATTCTAACACCCAAGCATTAAAAACTAGCTAAACTAGTTTAACTAGTTAAACAGGCCACTGATTTTTCTTTCCCCCCTCCTCCAGCTTTTTGGGAATCAACCAACCAACAGGGAAAAAAAAAAAAAAAGAAACTTCCTGAACTTCCTGATAGCCCCCAGGCTCTAAGCAATAAATAATCCAGAGCAAAGAATCTGAAAGATATTATCCATCTTGGTACTAAGCTCTTATATAATAGTGGTTTTCTGTAGCTGGGCAATGTAAATACACAAAGGGAACAAAGTCAGGGGAAGAAAAAAAAAAAATCTTCCTTCACAAATATTAATATTTTTTGATGAATATACTATGGACTGCAATTAGATATGTAGAGTCAGTGGCAAAGAGGCATCCCAGTAGAAAAACAACACACTGATATTTTCAGAAAGTGCTGAGAACTGAGGAAACTGGTGGATTAAATACAACTGGGCAAATACTGGGCTGTTTGGGTTTTTTTCCAAAGGCCATCGAAGCCTCCTGACATTGTCATCCTTCAATTTTAGAACTCCATTTAAATTAAAATATTATAACTCAAATTATATTGCACAGAAGACTCTTAATATAATCTGGAGATTTAAATAACTAATATTCTAAGTGACTTTTTATAAAGGCTGATAAGATCATCTTCATCTTGCAGATAAGGAGAGATGTTAATTTTGAGAGATTCTACTGAATCGGTTTGTTTCTATTTCAGTGAGATTTTCTTTTTTTTGCTTAGCATTTCTAAAATGCAAAGCGTTTTGCTTGAAATCATATAACAAGATTATTTTTTTTTTACTTTAATCCCATTATTCACAACAGCCTAAGGTACTTGGATATTGTGCACTTCTCATTTCTGCATTTTTGTTTACTGAATAGATGCCACTATTTCAACATTATGCATGTACTTGTTTCTGTGAGCAACTTACTGGCTGTTTCTTCTGTCCACTTTCAGCTTTAAAGACGAGCAAATCATGAATTTTCTCATTGTATACTTCAAAAAAGCTCATTTCAAGATGATACAAAACCTAATAAAATTAATAATAAAAGTTATTAATATAGTCCACAAAACATTTTCATCATCGTTCATTTCAAAAATTAACCTAGAATACCAGATCCTGCCATGCAATATTACAGATGTTTGTACTGAAGGGAATTTCCCAGAGAAACGGTATCCTAAACCAGGGATCTGTTCCTGCCAAGAGTGCAATTTACTGGAATTCCATCCACAGACATTTCCAGATGATAGCTATCAAGCTTAAAAAATAACAATAAAAAAATTATATACATCCATCTCAGAAGTTTCAGTGTTGGGTTTTTCAGCACATGAAAACATAGTTTTGTTTGAACCTGCAGTGGTCTCATTCCCTTAGGGATTGCACTTCTACAGCACCATACACATAACAGAGAAGGCGTGGATTGATGTCAACATCCTGACGCAGAACAGAATGACCTAATAGAAAGATAAACTTTGAATCTACCTACAGTAATTTAAAAACAAAAACCAAAAAAACCAACAAACTTTCATGAAAACACATCTCCTTCCTCTGAAGGCATCCAAGTGTTCCCTCCCTCCCCCTTTTTTTTTTTTTTCCTTTTTTAAATGGAATTTTCTTTAAGAGACAAGGAAGACTGCTGCCAAAAAACTAAACCACTGAAGTCAGGAATACAAGGTTGAAGCAATTTGCAGCAACAGAATCACATATTCACAATACATAAGCAAACGAGTAACAAACATACCTAGCAGCTCAGCATTTTTTAGGTGTTACACTCTCTAGCCAAACTCAGTAACAAATAATGTTCTTTGATTCCTCAGTGTCTATCAAATCTACTGTAGGATTAGAATATTACATGTTCACCGGTGTCAGGATTCAGTCAAGAATTCAAGCATAAAGCAATAAAGAAATCTGGAATAGTTAAAAATGAAAAAGTTTGCCTGCATAAGCTTAACTGAATGTTAAGGTCTACGGACCTGAGAGTCAGTCCCTACAGACTCGGACAAACATACAGAGAAAAAGAACACGAAGAACAGCCTTTGTCACTAGCATATTTAGCATCAGATCTTCCTTTCTCCAAGAAAGGGCATAAATAGGTTTCTAATCCTTTTCACAATTTTAAGAGACATTCAGAGTTTCTAATAACCACAGTAATAACTAATAACTAATTACCGTAGTAATAACCTACGGAAAGACTTAGGTGCACAATTCAAATCTCATGTGCTGTACCACAGTCAAGCTGGTTCCTCAAAAGTGATTCTATCCCAGAAATTCAGTCTTAGAAAAGACTGTCAGACAGAAAAATAAATATACCTGAAGAATTCAAACCAACTCCGTGCATAGCTGCACTCAGTTTGGGTCTTTTCTTCTTAGGACATGAAATGAGTAGTTTAAAAAAAAAATTTAAGAGTTTAACTTAATTGTGTCTCCAGTTACAATTCTCTAAATTTACCATTACTACACCGATTAATTGGGTCAGAAACAGAATGTAAAGCTTCATTAAAACACCAGAAAGGATTACCACTTTGTTGTTTTTAAATCCACATGCCATAAGTGTAGGACAGGAATTCAAATCGAAATACACTGTGATCAAATGAGGTCCCTTCCAACCCCTAACATCCTGTGATTCTGTGAAATATTCCCACCCCCTCTCAGACCACTCTTTCATCTAGAGTTATGTACAAATAAAGATCTATTCTCAAAACCGAGACAGAAAAAAAACATGATTTACAATGAAAATTTTAAAGTCTTAAAAAAAATCCAGGTGGCAGTAGTTGATTGTTTTGGGTTGGTTTTTTTTTTATTTCAGCAAGAATACCGAGCTAGAATGCTAGAACTAGAATACTATTAAAGTGTTCGTGACAATGTTTAAATTCATATTTTTTTGAGTTCTATTTTATATGCCTCCACTAAAAGTATGGAATGCACTAGGATTTCTTTTTACCTTTCCTTATATAAATCTGACATTGTAAGACACGCTATATAAATGAAATAATCCTAGTCTAGTGACACATCAAAAACATCATGCCCATATTTCTTTTTTGCATTATTGCTCTTAAGGAAGCAAAACAATGTTGATTTTGACTATTTAGGGAACCCTGTTCAGAGCTACTAGCAGAAATAAGACTTGAATCAGCAAAAGAATACAGACATTAATAATGGATCAGCATTAAGGTATAAAATGAAAGAGTGAAACAGGTACCAAAATACTGAAACACATCAGTTTCCTCATAATTCAGTGCAAGGTCAATAGCATAAGCAAACCACCTGCTGCTCGTCCATTTGCGCTACTTGAGTGAAAAGATCTTCACAAAGTCTTGGAATTATTCCTCGGTCTTCACCAAATCCCATCATCCTGTAGTTAGAAAAAACCCAGGTAGTTCAGTTTTGTAACTCTCTCTAGGTAGTTTTAATATTAATTGTATAGATCTAAAGTTGAAATGTCACAGGGTCTGAAGTTACAGAGATAACAAGCGACAGAAATAAACCTGACCTAAGTTGGTACTTGTTTGAGCAGGGAGTTGGACGAGGTGATGTCCAGAGGTTGTTTCTAATTGATCCATTGAGAAAGAGGTTGAAAATCTAAGTAAAACGAAAACCCTACAGCAACTGAAGAGTAAGTTGTACTATAGACAGTAAACGTACAGACATCTGATATCCTACAGGCACGCATTTCATAGTCTCTGCACGCTGCCAGTGTAGCAACCTAAGCCCCTCCCCACCCCCGGGGTAGGTTTTTCCTGCCCAGTTCTGTCAGAGCAGAACACCAGGGTACCGGACTAATTCAGCTGCAGCCTAGAGACGCACACAGCTGCACGACATAGTTGTGAGCAGAAATTTGTTGTGTACGCTTGACCTGAGGACACAGTCACTACTGATTGTCACTTCAGCCTTGATTAAAATACAAAGGGGTGAAGGTAAGTAATTGTCTACCTGAAAGTGCAGGAAAAGAAAAAACACAAAAAACAACAAACAAACAGCAAACCTACAAATAAGATAACAATTGCAATACCCAGTGTATCTTTCTTTTAGGACAAGGTAAATAAACACTACAAGCAAAAATCGAGTTCCCACTTAAAAAGGAAAATCCTAACTCTGTATGAATTCTGTATCTGTTATAAATTGAACAGAAACATTAAAAATACGATAAATTGAATAGAAGCGTTTTTGGTCCTGAACTGCTTATGTAAAAGTCTCTAGTACCTCATGGGAATTATAAAGCTCATAGAACTGACTTTTAATAGATGCATGGTTGGAAACAAGCATGTTTCACTATGCATTCTCTTGAAAACTATACACAAGGTATATAAAATTGGCTATAAACCCTCAAAATGTTACTTGTCTGGGATTATTATGTGTAAGATTAGATTTCAAATAAGCAGGGCCACAAACATCTGGATTTATTTATTTAAATTCTGAAACAGTCAGGACCATAATTAGAATGATCGCTTAAAGGTCTTGTCCAAAAAACAACTTTAGAACACATCACTTCATGCATAAAGTAACAAACAGAGGTGAACAATAGCACTGGGAATCTGAGAAGCTCTCAACATTAATAAAAGTTTTTCTTCACTAAAGTCTCTGGAAAGAGCTTTTATTCTCTTCACTAGAAGCAGAAAGAGGCCAGTGTCAGATATATAAAAATGTTCTACAGCTAACTTTGTCTTAATCATTATATTGTTTAATTTTTTTTAAATATTCTAAAATATTCAATAACTATGAAATCTACTCCATAGAATCTCTTTTCATGACTTTACATTGCATAACAATTGGCTCCTGCAGAATTTTAACAATCATTATTAGGAACTTACGTGTATGATTTTCCAGAGCCAGTCTGTCCGTAAGCAAAAAGACAAGTGTTATATCCCTCAAAAGCTCTTTCTAGGAGTGGCACTGCCAAGGTTTTATAAATCATTGCTTGGCTTGCAAAATTAGGATGACACTTGTCAAAAGACCAGAAAGAGAAGTCAAAACTGAAGCTGTAAGCTTGGTTTGTGGCTGGGTTCCGTACAGCTGTCTCTGAACCACTCATGGAGATCACAGGGAGTGAGTTTTCATTTTTCTCTCTGAACGGAAGTGGAAAAGAAAATTAAAAAATTAAGGAGTATAAGCTACATGCTTTAAGTTAGTCATTTCAATCAATTGCCTTATGGAAAACAAGTTCAGTAATCATTGTTAAGAAAACCTGATTGATAAACGTACAAGGTGTTCAAGCTCGAAATACTTCAGCTAATGAACATGTAAAAAATAGCCCTAAATGCCTATAAAGTGAATTCAACCTCTTAATAAAATCTTTACCTTGATGTTGCATGAAATATTGGCTAATTTCAAAGTACGTATTACATCCTTACTGGGTCAATGATTAAACAATTCAAAAAAATACAAAACAGGCATCAACGTACACTATAAAAGCTGCTATTAGCATCAGAAATAAGTCCAGGATACAAACCTGTTACTGAAAGGCCGTACACGCACCGCTACAATCACTTTGCTGTTTTCCACTTTGAAAACATCTTTCTCAGTGCTATCGCTCTCAGCTAGAGCTTCTGTGGTCTCTTTTGGTTTTGAACTTCTCACGAAAGGGGAGCTGGAGACACTAGTTTTCCTTTCAGCTAAAACGTGACGATGAGGTGTTCGTTTATTCACAGCAGATAGAGAGGGTTGATCCTGAGAAGTGCTGTTCTTTGGTGTGAGCTTAAATCCTTCTGTCAAACTTTTTGTGGATGTCCTTGGTCTTTCCAAACTGTTATGTTTTATAACAGAGTGTTGTAACCTTTGCTTTCCAGCTAGCTTATTTATATTACCTTTTTCATTCAGTTGTTCTCCTGACATCCTATTAACGTATTTTGAGTTAACTAATTGTTCTGATTTAGTAACTTCATTTTGAAATTTTGTGTCAGCAGTACTTGTCCTACATTTCAAACGCGTGCAGCCATCATTTTCACACAGACTATCAACAAAGCCAAAGGACTCCTTGCTGTTCTTGTTACACTGCAACCTTGTACTTGACTGATTCTCAGCTAATTTAAAGCTTGGGTTAACATCAGGGGTGTCATTATTATTAATATTTGGTGGAAGTGAAGTCTTGTAATTTCTTTGTGCAGCAGAGTCATCATTTTCTATTCCAGGCACAGTATTTTGACTAATTTTACTCTTCTGTATAGAGCCTGTCCTCACACGCCTCTGCAGTGTAAGTCTGTTCACGGTTTGTGTGGTTTCCATGCCCTGTGTTGTGTTTGTATGCAATTGTTCACTACTGGACACTGATTTTTTGTTTGCTCCTGTTCTCCTCTGGAGTACGAATCTGCCTTCAGGTAAAAATGCAGTTGATGTGTCACATGCTTTTTTACAGGCTGAAATCACGTAGGTCCTATTTACTTCCTCAGCCTTATTCTGAGAACACGAAAGCAGACTATCCTTTTCTTCTCCCGACACCTGCGGTTTCAGTTGCTGCCCAGACACTTTGCTGCTGGTAAAGGTATTCTGTGAAGAAGGCTTCTGCAAAGTGGTAGTACATCGTGCCTCAGAGGGGGTTCTTGCAGGAGCTGCGTAAATAGACATTTTGCCTTCCAGCAAGTTAACGTTAAGGGTTTTAATAAGTACAACACCTTGCCTAAAAGGTTATTTCTAGTTGCTGCTTCTTGAGGAATCTGGGGAGACAAAGCAAAAATTGGTTTATGATGCTCACTTCCACTGTGAGTTATGTTTCAGCACATGGGGAGCTCTACATATACTGCAGTAAATACATGTTCCCAAATATTAATAACAATCAGTGCCCCGTTTCACCTCCAGTACTTAAAGAAAATTCTCTTGTATTTGAATGACTGCTTCCACAAAATAACAGGTTATTTGATTCCATTTATTGAGTTTTGTGATTTGTTTCAGAAAGTAAACCACACATCATGGAGAAGCACCAGTTGGTACAAAGAATGATCTATTTAGCAACAAAGATCACCGTGGACGTTTCTTCCAAATGATCAACCATGATCCCCAAAGAAAGGGAATTCAAGATCATGCCTCCACTCACTCATAACTGTTTATGCTCTTAGAGTTTCACAACTAACAGATTCCAACAGATCAACATTATTAACATTGAATAGGAAATCTGTGAACACAGAACGCAGGATTTTTTCATTTTTACATATCATATAAAACCCCCATCAGAATTGGACAGTTGTTAAAGATGAGTACTACAATGCATTTGGACACTACTTTAATTCACTATAGTACAAACATGCATAGCAAAACAAAGATACCTAGCCTAGGGGACAGAGGAAAAACTGTCATATGTATTCCATATCCTTTCTACATGTAAATATTTAGACAGCTGTATATGTCCAATCTGTATAGAAAAGCAAACTTTTCAAAAATTTAAAACCTGAGCATACTTATTGCTCAAGCCAGGTTGATACAGTAAACTATTTCTGTTATGTGAGTTGTAAGACAGACGTTTTGTGGTTCTGCCTAGCAGTCAGTAAACAAAGAAACACGGCTGTAAACCATTAATTGCCTTCGTGTTTTCTGAAAAGTCCATCTTTTCCGTTCAGCTTGAAAACAACCAGCGTAAGGACAGAACTGCTCCCCTCCTGGGCTATAGCTGTCCCTTTTGGACAGTGACAACGCCTTCTTGTAGAAAACTTACATCTCCCCACTGAATGCGCTTTCATTCTAAAATACGAAATACGGCGCAAGATGCTAAAAGTACGCTCGCTCCTCGTTTTTAATTGATTACAAATACTAATTAGAGACGAGACTCAAGCGTCCAAAGCTGGGTGAAAGCGCAGGAGAAACAGACGGCTTCGCTACCCTCTGGCACACCCGCCCTGCTCGGGCGGGCCCCGCAAGGCTCCCGCACGGCCACGGACCCGTTTGAGGGCCGCCCCGCTGAGGCGGCCCCTCAGCCCCGCCCGCGCCCTCAGGAGAGAGCGGCG